AACTCGAAATAGTGAAGCAAGGTCATCAAAGGTCAAAGACTTTGACCTGACCTTCACGGGACCTTGAAACCCACACCAAAAAAAAGATTGGAAATTGCGCGGATAATGTGAGCCTCAGCCGACATACGCCAATTCGCAATTCCGGTCGAACATGGTCTCGAGAATCAGACCACAGGTCAAAGGTCATTGGGGTCAGGGTCATTAAATTTTTAGAGTATGTGTAGAATTGATTAAATCGAGGGTACTGAAAGTTTCGTCGCGATCGGCCGCTTTTTGCGCGAATTATTCGCGTAAAACCGGGAGGGGGTCCGTTCGACCCCGCTATACCTATGTAAGTGCGAGTGTTAAGTCACTAAAAATCTGTCTTTAAAGTAAAAAAGTTTATTCCTCGAGCTGAGAGGCCAAAGTTGTACAGTTGGAGTAGGTACTTTAACACATCATGTAGGTATGTGCTTACATGCATGCATACATTCTTTTTTTTATAAATTTAGTCCGAACCTTTTGATGGGAAGGATTCACAAGGACAGAGCCACCGCTGAGCGAAGCTTGTTGCGATGACCCTGCCCTCTACCCTCCGATCGCGCAATTCCGATTCTATGGCAGAATTTAGAGTCCAAAGTTTAACGTGCGCACAAAGCCGCGCACGGCCGGTCCCCTCGCTGACTTCGCCTGGCTACGGCCTGCCACCAACCGCAACCATACCTGTCAGGAGGCCCATAAATGTCGAGCGCCCGTCGTGCTTCGAACCCGGACTGTCATAACCGGGAACGCGTGCTCTCACCACGCGGAATCCAACGCTCTAACCAACTGAGCTACGGGACCGGCAAATTCTCGAATTAAACATCAATAATACCCACTAAAGACATATTGCTCTTTGGAACGTCGCTTTCGGTATGGGGATATCGTGGGTCTGAGCCAGCTGACACGGGTGACACCCCCCTCAGTGGGGTTCTGGCATGGTCTGTGTTGGATCACCCACCACCACAATGGGTGGTTCCTCAAAACCAGCGTAATTCAGACCGGTGTGAGGCGGCGACGTGAGGCACGCAAGTGCGGGACCGTCCCCATGCCGTGGCGGTCCGGGTCAGGGGAGCAGCCCCCTCCCCGCGCGGCGGGCGGTCGCCCATTCATCCGCGACCCCTGCCCCTTGACTGAGGGGTTGACAGAGGGCAAACATCACGTATTTAAACTGGGCAAACAGACGGTGTTCTACGCTAGGGACATCTCGCGGCTGTGATTCACGATACTGCTTCGCCAAACTGCCTTTAGATGGTGGGTCAGTCGGTGTCCGTCTGCTGCTGTGCGCCGAGAATTAGCCCTATAAATTACCATGAATTACACCTTCTAGTGTGACGATACAGTCACATTATCATATAGGTCGCGTTTAGATGCAAATGAAGAAACGACTGCGTTGAAAAAATATGTCATTTCATCGAACGCTGAAATGCTCGAAGTGCTCGCTAAAAAATGAACTCGCTAACTGAGCCCTCAAGGTCGGCTGCTGTGTTGCATTGCATTTAAGCCAAAAACGCGGACTGGGTGTAAGTTGTCGAGAAACAATTTTTGGCCTGAAGTGTTCGCTAAAGTATTATCTACATAGATCCAGGGAACATATTTGCTATCTGTGATGGCTTAGGAGATATTGAATCGTAAGTCCTCCGGTGTACCCTGTTTTGCGGCGGCCCACGTGTTAAAAGCTGCTGAACATTTTTACTTTGACCAAAAAACGCGGGCACAGTTTTGTCTGTACGAAAATGACTTTTGTCCTATCGCATTCCACGTGGGCTGAAAATTCAGAAACTAGGGAACATATTTGCTACGACCAGTACTTTTCACGATTCAGACCGAAACGTGAAAAAATAGCCCCAAAACCCTATGACGGGCACGTCTCCGCGGCGCCCGGCCGCGGGTCGCTAGTTCCCGAAACGACACACCATGCAGCGGGCGGCCGCGGGCCGGGACGACAACCGAGGTCCTTCGGCGGCCCGCCGACAACGTTGACAAATCGTGTTTTGTATTTTACACTCGCACAAGGTCACACGGGTCGCCTGTGCGACACTGTGCGAAATTTGTTCTCAACGAGAATAAAGTGAGTCGGTGACAAACAAAAATCGGCACGGAGCACCGTACCGGAACTTTGGCCATTTAGCACGGTATGTCAGTTGACCCGCGGACCATGTAAAAGGCACAGTGGGTGGCGACATTCCTTCTTCCACTTGGTCGTTTGCCGCTAGCACTGTCAGGGAGCCGACCAAGGTAACTACCGCCCCCTCTCGATAAACTGCAGGAATTGAGCTGAGCTGCTCACACCTCGGTACATACCGAGAGACAATGGCGCCGCGTCTTCCGTGGGTGAAAACCGACAACTTTCTGGCTTTGAAAATTGCAGCCTGCATTTGAAAAAAAAATGCATTTGCATTTGAGCCTGCAGTGAAGTATGCAAAAGTCAAATAAATATGTGACGCCTCAATCAAAAATGAATTTATCGGTGCTTTTGATAAAGCTATTTTAGATTTACACCGAAAGAGCTTGAACCTTGCTTGAAATAATCGTGCTTCTACCTCATGCTGCTTGTCACGGAAAATTTATTTTCTACCGTGGATCTGGTAAAGCACTAATGGCTCTGTCTACCACCAACGGTAAGCCACCAAGGCTTGTGGTAGGTTATCATCACTGTAAGACATCATGGACTGCCACCAATCAGGGTGCAGTCACATTGATCTGTAAAGAGCTGCTGACGGGCCCCGGCAGCTCTGTTTGCTATACACTTCGTCAGGCGTGTGACACATTCATGGCAGCTGGGACCTGACCGATAAACTGTGGCACACGGTGGCGTGCATATTTTTACCGTGAAACCCACCAACCCTACTCTTTCTCTTGATATGCAGACATTAAAAATCCGACAAATAGTTGCGAAAAGGAAATCGAAAGTCAGGAGCCATTCAATGCATAACGCCTTAATTCCGCTGCATGTTGCTCCACTACGTCACCACACGGCAGTGTGTTGGTAGCTCAGTCCTCCGCCCGTCTGTGCCCACTGCACGTGTAGCTGACCACGTGTGCTGCGCCCCCACGGCCGGTGCGGCAGGCGGCCCCTTTGTGCGCCCGCCGGTGTGACGGCCTCCCTTCCCCGGAGCAGGCCGGTCAGCTCTGGCGTCACGGCCTGTGACGACCGTCACCGCGGCGGCAGGGGAGCGTCACGGCCCGGCGCCGCGGCTGGTGAATCGGGCCACCCGGCGCCGCCAGACGGGCGGGAGCGCGGGACAATTACCCACTGCCCACCGCCGCGGGCCCACGATACAGGCCAGTGATAGAGTCGCTGCACCAGTCACACCGGGAGCCATCATTGCCATCAAAACCATCAACACCAGCTGCATGGTCAACCCTGGCCGGCAGCCGGCAACAGCCCGACGTTGTTTGACGAAGACCGTCTCAATTCGGTGCCGTCAAACCCGGCGGGGTCAATTAGTCAGCGACAGCGCTGTCAGATTTCTGAATAAGATTTCAATACTCCGATCATCTCATGACTGATGACATGTTGTGAACCGAGACGCATGTAAGCCACCGCGAGGAAAAATAGGCCACACCACGGGAAGGAAACGCTCTAAGCACTGTATACCACACGAAACTCAAGTTGGGCGCCAGGAGTTCGGTCCGGGTCTCTCTTACACCCCGAGGGCCGGACTGGGAACAGAGCCGGGCGCGGGACCCTCAGGGATCGCTCGGCCGGGGGCGTCGGGCGCGGCCAGCAGGACAGACAGCCGGCCGGCGCCCCACACACACAGCCCATGTCACACCGCTGATGGAGTGACTACCGACTCAGCCGCCGCCGCCGCCGCCCCGGGCGCGGCCAGTAGGACAGTCAGCCGGCCGGCCGGCGCCCCCCCCCCCCCCCACACAGCCCATGTCACACCGCTGATGGAGTGACTACCGACTCAGCCGCCGCCGCCGCCGCCCCGGGCGCGGCCAGTAGGACAGACAGCCGGCCGGCCGGCGCCCCCACACAGCCCATGTCACACCGCTGATGGAGTGACTACCGACTCAGCCGCCGCCGCCGCCGCCCCGGGCGCGGCCAGTAGGAGAGTCAGCCGGCCGGCCGGCGCCCCCTCACACACAGCCCATGTCACACCGCTGATGGAGTGACTACCGACTCAGCCGCCGCCGCCGCCGCCGCCCCGGGCGCGCTCACTACTGTTCATTAATAAAGCCTAATTAATGTCCTCCTCGTCTGCCTATTGCTGGGCAGTTGCGGAATTTAGTATCGGCCTTCTGTTCTCTGTAATTACGGTTACGATAAACAGCGAACGATGGAGAGAGAGCAGGGGCTCCGATAAACTCGTATATCGCCTCCGAGAGGACCGTCCCATCCCCGCCCGATCCACGCCGGCCCTCACCCAGTCGACCGGTCGTAACCCACTCCAAAGCACCTTCCCAACTCCTTCAAACACCCTCTCCCCGTGCTGAAGGAGCCCCGTCGCTGAGCGGCAGGGGGACGCCGCTAAGGTCATCCATCAAGACGGCAGCCAGGTGGGTATATCGGCCGCGGGCCGGGACGAGGGGCCGACTGACGTCTTTTTGTTGGCGGGCGGGCCGGCGCGGTCGGCCCCAGTGAAAGCAGGGCCGGACGGGTCGGGGTGACTTGGTGCAGTTGACGTCATGTAGAGTGGTTCACCTCGTCAATCAGAGCCGCGAGTGGAGAAGCGCCGACTTGGAGTGCTCGGAAACCGGCGGAGTTTGTGAGGGATTTTGGATCTGAATCTGAAGGAAGGAGAGTGAATGTCCGGTGCCTTATTGGTTGTGGAAGGTTCGGAGCATGCTACGGCATTTGTTGGAATGGAGGCAGGAATAAATAGCATTGTTAGCTAAAGTGTGAGTGCAAACAGAAGACCAAAAGAGACAAGACATGGCGACGTCATTTCGAAAATTTTCTTGACCTGAACTTCGAAACAGCAACAGCACAACACAAGCAAGAGCCACATTTGGCCATCGATTCTACTCACTCGTGGCAGGACGTTGAAGACGAAGCTTCTAGGGTACCCTCGTCTGAAAGGTAGTGGACGGCCCTCCTCGTTCAGCCGCCACCTCGGCCCAGAGACGGCGGTCTGAGGAAGCGTCCTCACCCGAGCACCGTGACCACTGGAAGCGCTCGCCGCCGACGCCAGTCCCACTATCTCCTCCAGTTCCGGACCCTCGGACAGTAGAGGCGATGGCACAGCGCGTTAGGCGGCAAAATCGCCCCTAGGCGCAACTCCGCAGCAAGAGGACACTGACGCACTAGTCGGTCGCTGCGCGGGGACCACATCCTGGGCCGCTATCTGCAGCGGAGGGGCTGAAAACATGTCAGCCCGGACGGACGGACGGCGCCTCGGCCCCGCACCAGTGTCTCCCGGGCAGACACACTGAAAAACAATTTGAACACCGTTAGCTGGGTAAGTGGTTATTCTGCATACCGGAGTTTTTATATACCCAATAATGGGTGTTCAGGGAGCGTTTGACACCTTTAACCGTGTATGACAGGCTTCATGACACTGTAATAAGTGTCACAGTACACATTTAACCCTCGCCCGCACATGGGGGGGGGGTTGCCACCCCCCCCAGGTAGTCTTTCTGCTCTGCACTCAACATTTTTAGAGATAGAAGGCTGATTTTTCGTATAACTGCTCCTCTATCCTTTCTTAATGTCCACTGAAAATTTCAAGTTTCTGTGATTTTTCGTTTCGGAGATATGACCTTGTTTTTCAGGTCATGTCATGACCCAAATGGCCAATTCTCAACATCTTGCGTTTGCCATGGGCCTAGTGAGCTTTTGACACCCTGATTTCGGCCTTTTTTGCCAGTCTTACCTCCCACCTATCATGGAACATGTTATTCGACGATGTACAGGGGTCAAGGTCAGGGTCAAGGTCAACCTAGGTCATCTAAGATAATTGCGTTATAGGCAAGCTGAATTTACTTTTTGTGAATTTTTTTGACTGCATTTTCGGTAAAAGTTTCTCAGATCATGATTTCATGTAATATGGACCCAAAAACAATCGGTGCACACATCAGTATACACACAGACACACACAGACATAGAAACACATATAATTGACCTTGACCTAACTTGACCTGAAATGACCTCAGCAGCAAAAATCTGATCGGGAAGTGTGACAAGGAGGTTCTATCTGGCTTGGCACCAGAAAACAGCATCGTCATCGGTATTTGATAAGCAGCGCACTTGATATTCAACGGTGACCCAAAACAGCAACATTTTTTAGTTTGACCTGACCTGGAAGGTCAAAAACTGACCTGAGAAGGTAAAACTGGGTATCATTGGATTTTTCTCTTCCCAAAGAATCTTTTTGGTCTTTACCGCTAAGCTCTATCTCCAACAGGAACGAAATGGCGCGGGGGGTGGCAACCCCCCCATGTGCGTTCTAGGATGGGAAAATGGCATGTGCGGGCGAGGGTTAACCCTCGCCGGACCTATTGGTTTTCTACATACGCCCCGGCCGAGGGGGGGGGCGGGTACGACCCCCCCCTCGCCGTTTCGCCCCTGGTGGAGCTAGCGCGTCGCGGAAAAAACGAGCGTGTGCGCCGTTACGAGACGCAGAGATTGGTACCCGATTTTAAGGTCCTAGTTCAACCGGTGACCTCTGAGGTCAGGTCAAGTGCCCAAAGGTACGGCTCAGTTTTTGGTGAATAACTTCGCGGAAAATGGCCGCAGAGCCGCGATTTTGGCAGCATCGTGTTCGCCTCGCTCAGGCGCGTCGAATGATATACTTTTTGTTCGGGTCAGGTCAACTTGGGGTGTTGACCTCAGGTCAAGGTCAGGTCAGCACCCTAAGGTCACGAAGTTGGTCGAAAGGGGTCATGTCGCATATCATTCGATTCGGCAGGTCTTCCTGAGTCCATTGGTGGCTTTCCCGACTCGCTAGCTCAATTTGATCAAGAGTTATTGACGAAAAACTAATATGACCTTGATGACGTCATAAATGACGTCACGATAGGTCAACATTGCAAAAGTGACGCATCTAACCTTGCAAGGAGTGCATCAAATCACGATTCTGTGTGCTTGAGATAGTTGGAGATCGTTCCCGGCGCCAGAATAGCAGTTTGAATTTTTCCCCATTGACTTATAATGGTGAGGTCACGAAAATGACCTGACCTCATATGACCTTTAGGAAAAATCCGAGATATACAAGTTGTGAGACTCATAATGGATACTAGATCCTGCAAGTTTCAATTCCCTGTGACATCTCCTCTGGCAGTGAGGGCGTTGCGAAGTTGCGACATCTGAAGACCGTGCAGAGGTTCACTTGTGACGTCATAGGTCAGTGACCTGACCTGACCCGAAAATGCGGTTGGTGTCAAAAGATGCGGCTTGGATCAAAGGTCAGGTATGCCAAGTTTCAGCTCTCTACCGCCGGCGTGTTCGGAGCTATCGCGAAAAAACCCTATGGGGGGGCGGCACCCGCCCCCCCCCCTCGGCCGGCGAGGGTTAAAAGTATCTGACACCCAGCATACACTGCAAAAACACCCCAACCCATTTTAAATTTTTCTCAGTGCAATATATGATAATACTAAACAATGTTTCATGGCTGCGACAACTGAGTTACATGCAAAACAGCTATCGCAACACGACCCAAATCGTAGCCACATGAGACTCAAGAAAGGCACAAAAACTCGCCAATTAGGACCTCAAATGCTTTCATTTTGACCACCTATATCACAGAACGGATATTACACACAGGACGGCCGGAACAGCCAAATGTGGTGAGGGAAACGACTAAGGAAACCGCCGTCTCCGGGATGCACTCAGATAGATCTCTAACGATTTGAATGAAATCGTTCCTTTCAAAGACTGAGTCAAGCTTTGAAGTTACACTGAAAAAAATAATTATGCCTGTGGGGAATTTTTGGGGTATCGGACACCGTTATGACACCTATGAGGGTGTACGTTCTGCTAGCATATATCTCACAGATCTTTATATAACTCCTAATAAGCATTCTTAGGGTGTATTTGGAGTGTCAGATACCCCAAAAACACCCATGCAAACTGTCAACTTCATTATCAAAGGGAGTTTGCGAGGTGTAAAAAACTAAGCCAACACCTTTAAGAGTGTCAGTTTGATATTTGACACCTACATAATGCCAGCAATACTCCCCATAATAATTTTACAGGTATCTGGAAGGTGTAGAAAAATCCCATTTACAGATTTTAGCAGTGTTCTAGGGGTGATAAACACCGTTCATATTACCATCGCACTCCCTTGACGACTTTTTGAGGAATATCCCTCGCCCTGGCAGGGCATTTTTCATAACACGGCCTGGCAGGGGGGGGGGGGGGGTCGATGCGACCCCCCCCCCTCGCGATTGGCTCCTATGGCATCAAGCACCAAGCCCCCTAGAGTTCTCGCCCCTTTGCAAATTTGGTTGCTCTAGGTCAATATTTAGGGGGTTTTGGGGGTATAAATGTCAAAATTTCGCTAAAAACAGGTCAAAAGTTTTTTGCCTATAACTTTAGATTTAATTAAGATAAAGCAAGAAGAAAAGCACCAGTGAACTCAGCACGTCAAGGCGCGTTAAATGATGTACTTTTAAGCTTGCTTAATTGTACTTAAAGTTTTTCTTAATTTTAAGTAAACTTTAATTAATCAATTAAGTTAAAGTTAACCAAATTGCATCACATCGCAAATCATTCGATTTGGCTGATCACCAGAAACACAATGACACCATTTTTAAGCTCTAGCGTCATTATGTGCCAAGTAATTGGCAAAAACGTCATTTGACCTCAGTTGACCTCATTTGACCTGACCCATGGATAAGTACACCAAACAAAGAAGCACCAAGTGACCTGCTGTTAAGTACTGTGGTTTTAAAGCACAAAAGTGATAGAACGAAGCTGATATCTCCAGTATTTTCCGAATTTAGTATTTTCCCTTTGGCTTAACATTACGACGTAATGACCTCTAACTGACCTCAGGTCAGTGACCTAAAAAAACGAACTGTATGTTATACAACTCGGTGAACTTAGCACATCCTGAAAGTTTGAAGGAAATCAGTCAAAAACTGTGAGTTGGACAGCTGCAAAAAGAAAATTGAAATTTGACCATAACCTTGTACCGGTTTTTCTGACCTATTGACCTGACCCAAGGTCACCCGGACCTCAAATTTTCAGGTCGTATGTCAAAAGGCTGCCCCATAGGTTGTGCCAAATTTGGCGGCGCTGCGCGCCGCCGTTTTTACGCTATCTTTGAAAAACCTTAGGGGGTCGCATCGACCCCCCCCCCCTGCCAGAGCGAGGGATATGCTAGGTGTAAATTGCTTGATAACACCCATGAAGGGTGTCAAAAGATAATGGTTAAACACTTGCTGTGAACATCTGCAGTGTCAGACACCCCTGAAACACCTCAAATAGTGTACGTTCTGCTGATACCGACACCTTAACCCTATTCCTGGCGGGCTCCGCCGGGACAAGAAACTGGCGGGGGGGGCCGATTCGGCCCCCCCCCTTCAGATCTCAAAAACTACACATCGCAGCGACAAACGGTAAACGGCATCGGATACGCACGGTCAAGATCTACAATTTTTCAAAGGTCATTTTCAGGTCAGGTCAAAGATGACGTCACAGGGGTCGAAAAAGTCAAAATGGCGGCGCTAGATATGGAGAGAGTTTTTCTCGAATAACTTTCGAATTACTCAAGATAGGAACAAACTAAGGGCATCATCGTGATCCTCTCGTCAATCCGCATCGAATGATATATATGTTGACCTCGAAAGGTCAAGGTCAAAGGTTGACCTCAGGTCACGTGACCTCGAGGTCATCATGTATATCATTCGATGCGTCTTGACGAGCTGAACACAATGAGACCATCCACGTGTCTGTATCCTGTTCCTGTACGGAGTTATTGGCCAAAAACCTTTGGTGACCTTTGATGACGTCACATGACCTCACAGCTGCCCAACAGCAAAACAGACCTCAAGGTAGTGAAGGTTGATCGTATATGAAGTCATGTATGGTATATGGGGCCATTCCGACCCGTTTTAGTGGTAAAAACAGGGAGTTGATTTTTCCCCCATTGACTTATAATGGGGAGGTCGCGAAACTGGCCTGACCTTAGGTCACCGATATCAAAATTCCGAGATATACAAATTGCACATACTGGTACCCTATCTAAAGCCTGAAGAGAAAAAATTGATCGGTCAAAAACTCTAGCTCTGGCGTGATTGCAAACTTTTGTGAGGTAGGGTCACCAAACCGCCTCTGGTGACCTGACCTGAGGTCAGATCAACTCAAAATTTTCAGACATGTTGCGTAGAAGCCTTTTAGGAAAAGTCAGAAA